GTTGTATGGCATGTATTCCCAGGGGTTTCTACATGTTTGAATGATTCACACACGTCCATGGGTGGGCATCTGCAGCCAGTTCATGGTGGGCCAATTGTGTTATTGTTTCTCTGTGTCATGGTAGTTCTCAATTGAGCGGCGGGAGCCAGCCTGAGGGCCGGCGCATGACAGTGTGCACTGCTGCACGGCTTCCCGGGCATGGGGGCCCTCCTCCCAGGCACCTACGAGGCAGGGAGCCAGCCCAAAGACCAGTACTCCCCACGACGTAGCCTGCACTACATTGTGACACCCTGTCTCAAAAAAATTTACCATTTTAATGCTTACGGGCATAGTGTAGTAGTGTTAATTAAGTACATTCACATTGTTGTGCAATGCTCACCACAGCCCATTTCCAGATGTCTTTTCACCTTGAAAAACTGAAACTTTACACTGATTAAAGAGAAACCCCCACTTGCCCTCTCCTTCCAGGGTCTATAACACCCATTCTTCTTACTGTGAACTTGACCATTCTAAGCCCTTCATATAAGTGGAATAACATAGTGCTTGTTTTCTGCAACTGGCTTATTTTACTCAGCACAGTGTCCTCAAGGTTCAACTGTATAAATGTCAGAATTTTTTTCTTCTTAAAGGGTAAATAATACTCTATTGTACATACATACCACATTTTATTGATTCCTCTATTGATGAACACTTGGTTGCTTCTACCTTTAGGCTCTCATGAATAATACTATTATGAATGCAAATACACAAATATCTTCCTGAGATCCTACTTTCAAACCTTTTCTGTATATATATACACAGAACAGAGAATGCTAGATTGTATGGTAATTCCATTTGAATGTTTCAAGGTTCAAGATTAAGCCAGGGGTGGGGCCTAAGCCGGCTCCTCCCACTCCAGCATTCTAATACAGAACTCTGAAGAACCATCATGCTTTTTGTAGCAGCTGCATTGCTTTCCATTTCGACTAGCTGTGTGCGAGGGTTCCACACTCTCCACATCCTTGCCAACACTACTTTGTGTTGCCATTTGTTTTAGTCACCCTGGTGTAAGTTCTTCCAATATTTTTGAGACAACTATCCATAAAATACAAGCAAATCCAGTGTTTTAGAAAGCCCTCCTCTGGCCCTCCTAGAGCCTATAGCACCGTCCCTGTTCTAGACCACATCTGGGTATGTACGACTGAAGAATTCCAGTGGGTCCTGCCAAGGCTCCTTCTCCAGCTGGGTGCAGTGGCACACACCTCTAATACCAGCACTTGGGAGGCTGAGGCAGGAAGATCATTGCAAGTTCAAGGCCAGCCCAGGCTACATAGTGAGTTCAAGGCCAGCCTGAACTACATAGCAAGACCCTGTCTCCAACTAAAATGTTCCTCCCTTCCCCATGTTGCCCACAATGGACTGCTCCACTGTCATACACAACTGGAGAGCTCAGAGGTGCCTGGTACAGGCACAGGGGTGTGAGGATGTCTGCACAGATGTGGACAGAACTTGGATGTGGTTGGGATGTTAAACGTAGCGTCCTTGAGGGTTTTGAAGGTTCAAGACTAAGCCAGGGGTGGGCCCTAAGCTTGCTCCTCCCACTCCACCATTCTAACACAGAATACTGAAGAAACTAAGAACTCCACATTTAAACCTGCATATCAGTCCTGCTCTTAACTTTTAAGTATTTAGACCTGGCTGTGAACCTACAATTATAGACCATTCCCAATCCCCATGTGCTAGGGGAGATCCTGAATGAATCTGATTTTTAGTGCAATGGGTATACTGATGTATTAAAACATATTGGACAGATACTAAATTTACTTCTTGATTTAAGTAATATTGGCTTAATAATAGCTCATATTTGAATGGCCCTAATCTTGATTCTTTTAAAAAATGAAATAGCAGAGAAGATGGGTTGGAGCAATAACATTTTTTCGAGAATGACTAATGCTATCTCAATTTTTGGCCAAGAGCTCTGAGATTTTTTTTCTCCCAGTAGCCAAATGTCTCAAAATTTCCACAATGTTGATATTAATTTTATTAGCAATATTTTAAGCAGCATTGTAGCATATATAGAGCATTAAGCATTGGATACTAAAAGCACATAAGTTAGTTCTTTTAATGAATATTAACCCAAGAAAGTGAGAAGGTATATTATACGGGGCATGTAAAATATTTTGTCAGTAAAGACAGTAATTTTTAACTATTGAGTTTTCAGTCTTGATGTGTAGTTATATGTGACACCAATGAAACACCTTGTCTCCCTTCTTTGGAGTGTGTCCTGCCCCAGCTGTACAAGCTGGGGTCTTTCCAGTTTTCTTACCGTCCTTTGTTAAGAACCAACCTGATCTTTGTCAGCTCCCCTTTCTACTTAAGCTTTTTCTCTGAAAAATAAAAAGACACTTGTGAAAAGTTTGGCACATAACAGATTCTGAATTTGGGATATCACAATAGAAAAGAGTTCAAGATCTGTGGACCGGGGACACTGAGGCTCCAGAGGTTATCTGCTCAAAGTCACATATTGTGTCTCATTTACTTTTCTCGTTGCTGAGACAAAATAGCTAACACCCAAAGTTAAGGGAGGAAAGGTTTATTTAGCTCACAGTTCATAGAGGTCTCAGTCCATCGTCATCTGCTCCAAGGCAGGGTGGCAGGGCAGAGGGGCACTGCAGAGAAGAAACAGTTCATGGCAAAGCAGGGCAGACAGATGGCAAGTAGTGAGCAAGTGACAAGAGACAATGGGCTGGGTGTGGTGGCCGGCAATCCCAGCACGCAGGAGGCTGAGGCAAGAGGAGAAAGAATTGTAGCTCTTTCTGTCCCTTATACTTTTATCCAGGCTACTGGCCCTTAGGCCGGGTAGCACTCGCACCCTTAATCCTGCCCAAAACTATATCAAACCATTCAGTGGACTAATTTAGTAATCACACACCCTTGATCCCAGCATCACACACTTCAGATCCAACTACCTCTGAAAAACTCCTCCTATGATTGCATGAGGCTTTGGGGACATCTAGACACAAACCATATATATTGTAAGGTCTGGCGTGGTGGCGCATACCTGTAATCCTAGCATTCAGCGCTCCGGAGACAGGCTGAAGGATTGCTGCTGGTTGTAGGCCAGCCTGAGATTAAGGCGAGACTAGAATATACAGCAAGATCCTGTCTCAAAGAAATACAGAAATAAATAAAGTCACATAGTAAAAAGTTCCAGCTGGGATTTGAATTAAGGCCCATTTGTTCTTTCAATAAGTTTATTGAGCACCTAATATATAAATATATATTATATATATTATAGTAAATATTTTAAATATTTAATATATATTGAATACTTATAAAATATTTAGGCACTAGAGCTGCAACAGTAAGAGAGGCAAGAATCCCTATGTCAGGGTTCTTTTAGCTTGGAAAGGGGAGACTAACACTAAACAAATATTTGCCTAATAATCTCATTTCAGTTGCAAAAAGTGCAGTGAAAGAAGAGCTCGGGATATAAGCTGAGTATAAATATGTGGAACGCAATTAATGTCTGAGGATCAGAGACACTCCGCTGGGGGTTTTGAGCTGAAGTGAGTAAGAGGAGAACACTGAGAACAAGAAACAGTGTTTGTCCAGGCCAGAAGGCGAGCCGGTTTGGGTCACTGAAGCACCCGAGGGAGGAGCAGAACCTGGCGGAAAAGGAAAGCAGACGAGGCCCGAGCGGGGCCGGGGACCCCCGGGGCAAGGAGACACAGGGCCTTGACACGCAATAAGGGTTTGGGAACCCTGAAGGACGTTAAGCTTCTTGCTTACAGGTGGCGGACAGACGCGAAGGAGTCTGGGTGGAGGAGGCTGGTTAGGTTTACTAAAGGGCTCGGGAAAAGAGGTGGAAAGGCTGGAAGAGGCATGGAAGAGGGGTCTCAGCGGGGGATGAAAACCGATACCACTGAATCGAGGAGGAGTGGGGAGAGGGAAGGGAGGGGAGCGTGCGAGGTCCCGGCCTGAGACGCTGCCGACTCCTGAGAGGGACGCGCTGGACAGGACCGGGCTGGCCGCAAGGGAGCAGGAGGCTGTAGTCAGAGCCGCATCTTGAGTCTGCGGCGCCGCCAGTCCGCCCGTGCAGCGGGAGGAGAGGCCAGGCCGGCGGCCACGCGGGAGGGTCCACGCAGGGTCAGAGCGCGGCTGAAGCGGTGAGGAGCGAGCGAGAGGTGCGCCTGGACAGCCTTTGCCAAGCGAGGGCAGAGCAAGCTGAGACTGAGGGTGCAGGGGGAGCCCTGGGAAGGGTACTTTGGAAGCCTCAGAAAATTCCATTCCCAGGAGAGGATGCTCAGCAGTGAAATGCTGTTGATCGGCTGAAGAGACCTGAAGAACCATCCCTAGACGGAAGAGTGGCCGTCACCGCGATCACGGCAGCCTGAGAGGAAGGCAGTCAGTGAGCGAGGAGGCAGGAGTGCAGACCGGAAGGAGACCAACGGGAGACTGGAAAGGGACGCTTGGGCAAAGACAGCACCGAGCAAATGGGAGGAGGAGAGGACTTCTGCCTGTATAATGGGGAGACTGGTCTGTATTTCAATGCCAGTGGACTGGATCTAGAAAGTAAAAATAAAAAAAAAAAAATGAAGTTATTGCAAAGGAATGTCCATAAGCAACATTTAAATAAAAGTAGTGACCATATTTTCCAAATTAAAAGTTAGAACAGATGGTGATGGCATTGCAGAGTATTAGAAAACCCAGAATAGTATAAAGGCATTTTAAATTATTTCTGTTCACAATTTGAATAAGGTCAACCACGTGTTAATCAGATTTTCATCACTGTGACAAAATGTCTGGGGAAATACAGCTTTAAGGAGGGAAGACTTATTCACTCCCTGATTGACCCGGGCCATTGTGTCTGGGCAGGGCATCGTGGCAGAGTTAAGTAGCTCTCCTCATGGTGGCAAGAAAGAGGCTGGTGGGAAGGGGAGGAGAGGAAGGAAGAGAGACAGACAGACAGACAGACAGACAGAGTCAATTGTCCAGGACACACAATGCCTGCCTGGCAAATGTGAGGTCCTGAGTCGGATTCCTGGTACCAAAAGCAAAGCACAAAACAAAACAAAAAATTACTAGAGATTGTCCAGGACTGCAGTTCTTCTTGTTGCCTCTTGTTTCATGTGAGCTGTTATCATTTACCAAGAGCTGTTTTGAGACAGAAAATGGCAGCAAAAACCAAATTACTTCATCTCCTACTTGCTTCCACTTGCTAAAATTATATAGCTCAACAACTTACAGTGTAACACAACGTGAGGATAGCATACTGTAGTTTAAAATGATAAGGCCGAGGAATGTGCAAAGTGTCTATAAGTGCCAATTTAAGTGAAAATAATGGAACACGAAATGATAGGTGCACTATTACTGCAACTCTAAAAGCATACAAGAATATGCAAAGGAATCACTCTATTAAGATGACAGAATTCTGATGATTTTTAAATAATTTGCCTAACGTGTGATTAGACATATCTTCTCAGCAATAAAATACTTTTACTGATGATCTTAATGTTGCTTTATCATTTTCGTTTCCTTCTCTACTGTCATGTCCTACACCAGCCAGCGAGTGAGTGGAAACTGGTGACGCCAGGACGCTGCTTGGTGGCGGCCGTGAAACTTGGTGCTTAGGCAGGGAAAGTTCTTCCTCCACAGCCTAAGGGTAGTGCGTTCACGAACATGTGCCCTGGGCTAGGAGGCCTCCCTGATCTAGGGACATTCAAAACATGGTCCCAGAAATAGAATACACCATAGTTATCTGACCTTACAATAAAGGGAGCACACACTGGTGAGGCAGATTATGTGCTTACTGAAAGAATTTCTGCACTTAGGCCATTTCATGCTTCTCTTTTGGAAATAATGGTATTTTAAAATAGCAATAAAAAATCAAAATGCAGAAATAAAAAACATTTTAAACTTTGAAAGAAAAATGTTAAACTTTGAAACTATGTTTGGCTTATTACTACATGCTTGTGTTGTTTATAGATAAATAAAAGATCTATGTGATACAGAAAGTATTTATTAATAATGTGATTGTCTTAATTTTGTTCAAGTCCAGATTTTTCTCAAGCAAGATGATGTTCATTGTTGCTGACTTCATTTTGGATTAAGCAACAACGAACAATGATTCTTTATGGAGCATTGTGTATCAATCAAGTATATGTGGATAGTATGTGATTTGTTATCTTATTTCATCCTCACAATTACACAATTTTCTGACACTATTATCCCAGTTTACAGGGTGAAGAAACTCTACCTCACAAGGGTTAAGTAACTTGTTGCAAGGTCATGTGTAGAAACTTGCTTTCTTCAAAGTCACTGTCAGTACCATCACCATATTATTAGTAAAAAAATTCTATGTAATTACGCATAAGAAGCAGTTCCAAAGTTTTCCAGAATGACTGCTTCAAACAAGATACTATCTTTTGAATGGACAAGATCTGGGACATTGGCGTTTTCACTGAAGTCTGACTCACTGTTTTATTATAATTTCCTAAGTACTAGGTGTCTAGTAAATACTCACCCAGTGAATAAAAGAATTCTCGGCACGGAGAAGTCACGGAGCTCAGGAGCCAAGGCGTGTGCAGGCTGCAGGGGAAGGGAGGTGTGCAGTGAGAAGTGTAATGTGGGTATTTGATTAAAAAAGAACGATCAGTTTTAAACCACACTAAGCCTAAAGATAGCACAAAGAATTCTGCTCTTCAGCTACAAAGGAACATTACATTCCTAGGCCAACAGAAGAGAAGTGTCCATGTGCTCTGGGGATGTTTCATCCCCTGCCTGCCAAAATTCCAGCCCCAGACTCAAGCCGAAGGGCTGCCCTCTGTCACCATCTCTTGACAGTGAGTAGTCTCGGTGGAAGGGCACACTCTGCAGTCAAGGCTCGAAAGGCTCGAGGTAACACCAGTGAGGGCCATAACAAGCTTCTTAATAGTGAGCTGGTCTCGATTCAAGTGCCATGTCCTGTACAGTACGTAACTTCTGAAAGCCAGGAGAAATACCATTTGCTGAATATATGAAGGTATCTTTTTGGCAAGAAAAAAAACCACACGAAGTCTACAGTTTCCAAGTTCATGCTTACTGCTTTTTTTTTGTTTTGTTTTATTTTTCTTCCGGTAACAGGAATTGAACTCACGACTTTGCACTTGCCAGGCAGGTGCTTTGCCACTGAGCTAAATCCCCAGCCCCAATTGTTTTTTGTTGTTGTTGTAATAAAGTTCTCCTTTATTTTTTGTTGTTGTTGTTTGGTTTTGGTACTGGGAATTGAACTCAGGACTTTGTGCTTGTCAGGCAGGCACTTGTGCTGCTGAGCTATATCCCCGGCCCCTTGCTTACTGCTTTCTGAAATAAATTCCAGAAACAAGGACATGGAAAATTATTTGAGAGCATGGAATGCACTAATTTACCACATGAGCACTGGTCTCCCAAATCTAGGAAATTATTTTCTCACAAGCAAGAATGGGAATTATTTACATCCTTAGTTTATATCCTCACAGTATTATACAGATTGAATATCCTTTATTCAAAAAGTATGGAAACAGATTTATTTGGAAATATTTGCATATCTGTAATGAGCTATCTTGGGGATGGGCTCCAAATCTAAACATGAAATGTTTTTTAGCAATATCATATGATATAACATAATAATAAAAGCTAATGCAAAAAATAAAAACAAGTCATATCAAATGATTGCATGACTCTCTAAAAGACTTAAAGTGAAGCAGTGTTGTACAGCTTAGGTCTGTAAAACCACATTTGAGAAACATTTTGCTTTCAGAGCTACAGTATTCATGTCAGTGAAAATTAATTCATTTTCTTTCTGTAATTTAATTTTCCAGAACACAAAAATAGTATTGAATATTAACAGTAATATTTATTAAGAACGTACTATATTCCTACTGTATCATTGCTAGTGCTCACAACTTTGTGTTTTTCAGAAAATAAAACTTGTCTCTGAGTTTGTGTCAGCTATGTCTGTGACTATGACCAAATACTTGAGAAAATCAATTTAAAAGTGGAAAGACGAGGCTGGGCGTGGTGGCACACACCTGTAATCCCAGCACTCTGGAGGCTGAGGCAGGAGGTTCGCTGTGATTTCGAGGCCAACCTGCGCTACAAAGTGAGTTCAAGGCCAGCCTGAACTGCATGGTGAAATGCTGTCTCAAAAAGACAAAAAAGAGCTGGGGGTATAGCTCAGTGGCACAAGTGCTTGCCTGGCAAGCCTGAGGTCATGAGTTCAATTCCCAGTACCCACTCCCCCAAAAAAAGACAAAAAAGAAAGTGTACAGCCATGGTTTCGAGGTTTCATTCCATGGTACTTTGAGTCTGCTGCTTCTGCACCTGTGGTGAGGTCACTAAAACACAACAGGGAGCACACTGAGCAAAGATGTTCACTTCCTGGTGACGAGAGAAACCTTGTTTTTTTTTTTAACAACACCCCTCCTCCACAGCCCGTTACAGTATGACTCCATCAGTGCATTAATCCACCTGTGAGGCTGGCAGTTCTCATGATCCAGTCATACTCCAAAGGCCCCATCTCTGAACACTGCCCCCTGGGGAGCCACACCTTCAACAGATGATTTTCCAGGGAACACCTGAGATCCAAATCTTACCAGAGGTTAAGTAACTTGTCTGAGGCCATACTTTAAATCAGTTAGGATTCTACAAAGACTTTCATCTTCAGAGAAACTGGATACAAAATTAAACAACGATGCAACATACTTTGTTCTGCTTGTGCATTTCCACAATGTGTAGGACATTACCCACTGTGTTCATACATTATTTGTCCTTAGATCTTCACAGCATCTATAGAGGACAAATTCTTTGAAATACTGAAATGATTATTATAGAGTCAGGGTAATGATACAAATGGCACCTAACAAATGTCATTTTAGAAAAACAAAGGAATGTCTCATAGTCTCACCTCTTATAAGAAATCAATGGATGGAAAAACAGCTCACCACCACGATCAAAATCATTAAAGAACCCAACACCCATCCCTCACCCCCCCCCACTACAATCTGAAGAACAGTGGCTAATGGGAATCCAATGGCTCAGGTCATCAAATGTCACACGGGAGCCAGACGAGCCTTCTGCCTTTTCAGTGCCATACTTTGTGGGATAACTGCTGTCTTCCCAAAGCCACAAGGAATTTGTAAAATAACACAAGAAAACATATCTGAAGGTGTTTTAGAAAGTTTTCTCAAAAATCGTAAGTAATTATAAATGTACTGTATATAAATGTATTACCACAACTGCTATTCATTGGAGGTACCCACTTGCCCATGAATTTATCAAGTTTCTTGAAAGATCTAGGCAATAAGATAGCTCAATAAAAAGATTCAATCTGACAAAACGAGGAGCATACCAGATGAGGGTGTAAAGACCAGGAATGGGATATGGTTTTAGAATGGATATTGCTCAAAAAGAGACGGTTTTTCAAAAAGCTCATCTTTCAAACAACTCTTTTATTCTGTGCTCAGAAGGGCTGGTTTTGAGTCCTTGTCAACATATAAGACATACAAATGGTAATGATGTCTACCTCAGGCACTGGAGGAAAGGAAATGTCAGGTTTTGCAATCTGTGCAATATTTATTGTCTAGAAAGGGTCATGGTTCATACTAAGGCAAATGACCCCAGCCATTGATTCTACCCATCAACACAGGAAATAAGCCCCTATTGTCAGATTTTAAAAAGAAATAGTTTCAAAAGTTAAAGAGCATTTTTATTACCCTATTTCTTTGTAGTGGTCTAAGGCAGATGATTCAGTTTAGCCTAACATAAGAAAAAAATATTAAGGATCCATAGAGTATAGCAGTGTCATAGAAGCTGTGAGATACCCATAAGCAACATATGGTAAACTGAATTGGGAATGCATAATATAATTAGATGGAAATGAGGAAACCGATGCCATATCAATTATTTATTGCCCAATGAGAATTGTCCCTTCTTTTTCTCATGGGTCATAAGCAAGCAAATGTAGCCATCTTAGTTACATTCTTTAAAACTGAAATAATCCCTTTCCTAGGTATTTTTAGGATTGGTGGGTTCACTTTCTTGTACATACAAGATACTTTTTTTCTTCCAAGTAACTCTCTGCTTGTGAAAATTACCCAAGAGGGTTAGAGTTGAGCTGCTGACTCCATTTGCAATGAACTGGGTGCAGCCATTTGTCACATGCTATTGCAGACACATCAGATGGTGCGTCTGAAGCTCAGGACATCACCTTCTCCAAGCTCAAAAGATGAGAATGGTGTGAGCACCACATCCCAGAGCTCTGTACTACTTAAAGTTCACCAAAACCTTTGCGGCGCATCGTTTCTTCTCATATTTGGTATGTGTATGAAAAGATCTTTCCATCACATACTAGCACAACTAAAACTCCACTGTTTCTATAGTTTTGAGCGTCAGCATTGGGCATTTTTCACATAATTCTACTTAGAATGTGGATTTACTAGGACACGTTTAGATGTGTGTGGATTAACTGTATACTCCTATCAAACATGTTCATTCAAAATCACCAAACAGCACCTGTGATTTATAAGAATGTGGACTTAGTGATTGAGAAATAGGTCTTAAATGACAATTCTACTGGCATTATACAAAAAAACTTTTTTAAAGACTGTCTTTGAAAGGCACAGAAAGGTGTAAATTATTCTTTGGCTTTAACTCTTTCGATTAGAGAGACTAAGAATTGCTTAGAATGTTCATGTTCTATAAACACAAAAGTACAGTGACTGTATTTCTTATGCTAGGACACTTTTTTCAAATGTGGCCCAACTGTACAGAATAGAATGAGGATAATAGTTGCTTTTGCAAGATAAAGGTGAATATCAAGGACATGGGTATTGGCACAGAAAATGTGGTCACATTCTGTTTTTCCTTTTAAATATTGTTTGCTTAAGGAATAGATCTCGTTTTACGGCAATCACCTTTTACAATTATTTTGATGGCTAATTTAGTTAAAATGCTACATTACTTTTTTGGAACTAAGTGTGTTGGGAATACAATGCAACCTAATTCATGTAAGATGACGTGGCCTTTCTCCTACTGAACAAACTTTTGGATTGGTATTATTTTGCCTCTTGCAAACAAAAATAGTAGATGCTGTAAGAAAGAGCACTACCAAGTAGCAATTGCTGACTATTTTATTCTTACATAAAACAGATGCATTTGTTTTGGTCTTTGAAAATCACCATAATACACATAAAGGATTTAAATGTAATGTAGATTTGATTAGCACACATCTGGAAAGTTATTACAACATTTGAGATTCTAGAGACAGTGTTTAATTTTCAAAAGACTGCTACAGACATGTTCATACTATCATCTATAATCTCCTATTGACAGTCTAGAAATATGACTTTTCTCACTATTACTTTGTTTGTTACCAGGAATTGAACTCAGGACCTTGCACTTGCCAGGTAGGTGCTATGCCGCTGAGCTATATCCCCAGCCTTCACTATTATCGTATCAGTGCTATGTAAAATAGGGGTAATGATGATACCTACCTCATAAGGTTGTTGGGAAGATTAGATGGAAATAAAGATTATCTACAACTATTACTAGAACTTTCAACCATTTTGGACCATGTAGCCTGCTCATATTAAATCAGATTGAAGTCTTTAAAATGTATCTCACAATTTATACTGCCAAGAGGCAAGGCGTGAGTCAGAGTAAGTTGAAGATTTTTATCATGAAGGCAAGTTAACATTACAGTCAACAGTTTTAACAAACTAATTACCCAAAGTTATAATGCATATCTGTGGAGTGCAATGAATTTCAATTCGCTCACATCAGTTTAATAAAGGTTATAATAAACAAAGCAATCAGTGTGACTTCTGAGACACATTTATCAAATCCTTGGACCAACACACACAAACCGTTTAGCCCAGGGACATCTGTACTCTATGAATCTTTTTGGATGGTGGATCGCTCATGCCAGGAACAGAACAAACTGTTTTTCAGTGTGCTCCCCCACTTCCTATTTCCTACTCATGAAAGAGTAACTGCCATAGACTTGTTTCAAAAAATAAAGTTAAATGAACAGTTCAGTTGTATTTAAACTTGGCAAAGAAAAGAAAAACCCCTAAAACAAGGAACAATGAATAGAGAAAAGAATTTCTGTTGGGATTAAACCAGAAGGGAACTTTACAAATGGTTTATGCGTCCTGACTCTGGGCAAAGTATACCCTCAGTTTCCTGTCGAAGAACTGCATTACGTGTACCCGGTGAAGCAGCAGCTCAGGATTTCTGACAGGGAGCCATGCTGTTTTGGGTGTGTTATGGTTTATGTCTATGTGTCCCCCCAACGCCTCATGCGGACAAGGGGCAGGCTATTAGAGTTGAATATGGGTGTGAGAGCTGCACCCGCCCGGGAGTGGATATTTGCATATGTAAGGGAGAGGAAGAAGTGCTTGAGAGCATTCCTCCTCCACCATTCCTCCCCATTCCGCCCTGGTGGGTGCTGGCCGCTTAGCTGTGTGCTGCCGCCCTGAGATGCAGCTCTCTGCAATTTGCCACTCTGCCTTATAATCCTGCCAAGTACGGATTAAAACTTCCACGAACTGTAAGCGAAATAAACCTTTCCTTCCTTAATTTTGGGCGTCAGGTATTTTGTCCCAGCAGCAAGAAAAAAGTAACCAAGACAGGGTGGGAGGGTTTCATCCTGAGGGGCTTCCCATGCCTGTGCATTACAGCCTTTACTATCTCTGACTGCCCAAGAATTAAATGCTAGGTTTTCCCGCAGACAATCTCTCCTCTCTCCTCCTAGGTCTGTGCATCTTTCCAAGGAGATGGGTAAAACCTCTACTAATAAAGAACCACTGTTAAACAAAGACATAAAAAGGAGCGGCCACATAAGTTGTTGAATACTGAAGTCATTTTTTTCCAAACAATCTCTGAGGTAATAGAGATGGAGCCACACTTACTGAGCTAAGTACCTTGCTTCACCGATTAAACCTAGTGTCTCACAGATTCCGTTTAGTAAACCAGATCTGAAGTCACTTCATAACACTCCAGGAAAGGACACTTTAGGAAACAGGAATAGAGTTGTGGCTAAGAGAATGGACTGGTCCTAGCTCTACCACCCCTTAGTTATTTTGGGAAATGTTTTCCTTCTAAGAAAGGGATAACGATATTTATCGCATAAGCTTGTTGACAATTAAATCTGCTAACAGTAAACTTGCCTAGGTTAATTCCTATCACTAAGTACTCAAATGTTAGCTATGTCCTCAGTCACACTACTGGGACTGATGCTTGTGAAATAGTCCACTGTCAGAACTGCTCTACAGCACAGCAGGTAAAATGCTGGGCTTCAAACCTTAGAGGTCCTAGGCACTTCAGTAATCAGCAGCTCTATCGTAAGTGAAAAAGAAAGCAGCTGCCAGGGGAAAAAAGCTCAAAGGGAGCTCCTCTCTTAGCACCAAAACAAAGCTGAAAGACTCCCCCTCCATCCCCTCAGACCACATGCAGGTTTTGTGACTTCCTCTCAGAAGATTCCTTTGACATCTGTTCTATCCTGGATAAAAATGTGTGGGAGGGCAAGAAGTGCACCCTGTAATTATAACACAGATGGGGTGCTCTCCAGCCCCTACGGGAAATCCCATCCTGCTCCTGGTCCTCTAGGGAACTCATCTGAGGTAGTATTTCCAAAAAAAAAAAAAAAATCCTACAGCAAGAACAGAACTAAAATATTGCCAGTATACCATTTAGTATAGAAATAAGATTTCTGAGACATCCAGAAAGGCAGGAATAGCAAAATAATGTTCTATTTTTTAATATAATCAAGCTGGACAGTTTATTATATCATAAATATTCTTCTTCCTCATTGCTTTTTTAGGAAAGGTAGGCATTTCAAGGTAGTGAATTCATTCATTTCTACAACTTTTCCCACCTTCTCTTGTGCTTTTGCTGAATTTACTTTTTGGGGTTGAGTTTGGACAAAGAAAGCACTGGCCCTATTGTAAGATGAGGGTTATCTCAGGTGAACTGCACACTTCTTCAGATAACAAGTTTCAGGTACAAATGGGGACAAAAACAATTAAAAACAAGTGTGCCACACAATTGATGTACCTCGTGCTGGAGTAAAAGAGATGACGTAGGAGCCATGCTATGCGGCTGAAGGAAGAAGCCATGGCCAGGGTGTACTTGTGTATTGTACTGTTCAGGAGAAAAATGACTGGCCAAGCACAAATAGGAACAGTGTGAACTTCAGCTGCAAAACAGATGAACCACATCAGTTTTGGGAGTGACCTCGTAAGGTACAAATACATCAACTGTGCAAACATTAACTTTATAGTGCTTGAAATTTGCTTTATAACAATGAGTCCCCAAAATATTCAGGTTGTTGATCATTTTGGATTTTCCTACATTTATAAGCTGTTCTAGTTGGGTAAATTTGTATATTTTTGTGGCCTGAAGAGATTAATTTTTCATTATCTTTAGAAATCACTAGAAGCAAAAGAAAATTCACTAGAAGTTTAATTATCCTGTGACTAAAGACTAAGAAAGTTAATGTTACAACATTTCACAGCATTCTCTCCTCATTTCACAAACAAGGTACGTGAAGCCCAGTCCTCAAGTTCACAAGGTGAGGACTGCGCCCAATAGCCAGGTAATTCCCTCCAGCAGTCCCTGAAGCACATGCTACAGCCTCTGTGAACCAACACTGCAAAGCAGCAATGTGAAAATCCGGGCCATGTTTACAGAGCAAAGAGTACTTACCTCTGCTTCACTTGTCTTAGGGATCTAAATGTGATGTAAGGATTTCCACGGCAAAGAGATAACACAAAAAAGATGAATTTGACATAAGCAATGTTTCAAGTCAATGTTCTGACTTCTGGGAAGTCACATGGTTAAAGGAGTTAATAAAGTGAAGCAACCCTAACATTTTTAAAAGTGTTACTGTTGTTGATAGGTGGATTCAAATGCTACAAGAAATGGGGAGCTGCACGATGAATAAACAAATTTAGAAACACTAGCCTTTTCACAGACTATTTCAGTAATTTATTTCTGTTAATGACAGGAATATTCTCAGTAAAATAAAATAATTTTGTAACTGTGAATGAGAAGACAGAACTAGATCTAGAAAAGTTAACAAAGCATTCTCCTGACATGTCAGAGGAAAAAGGTAATTAATTGTAACCATTTATCTTCTTAAATCAATGCTGAAATAAGCAAATTTTGAATAGAAAATTCTATCTGGTTCTTTCGTATTTCAAGTGTAGAAGTACTTTAATAGAGAAGGTTCCATTTTCCCCGATCTGTATAGGTGATGTTGCAGGAAAAGGTAGCATGGGAACTGCAGAACGCAGCTTGAGAGAACACAAGAAATGTAAAGGTAAGAAATTAGCTTTTTCACATGAAAGAAAATCAACACACATGGACTGAACATGATTGCAATGACTAAAGGGAAGATACAAAGTATATTTTCCATTTCCCGTTTGGCACATATATTAATAAACTTTAAAATATCAATTTAACAACATAGCTACCAAGACCAAATAGCACAATAATAAAATTCTTAAATTTTAGTTTATACTAACATCTTAAAAACGTAATTCTCGTATGAATTTTGTCACTACGTGTATCTTCTGTACTGTGGAAGCTAGTCAAAGCACCGCCTTTTTCAGGACACCCTAGAATCTGTGTTTCAAAGTCAACTCATATTGAACTCCAGAACTCCTTACTGAATTTCCGGGATCTTCTGAGCAGGCCTTCCCTTATGAGAACATATGTACACAATTGTCACAATTTTGAAAAGAATGGAAGACCTTCATACATGTCAGTTTTTAATTTTATCCAATCATTAATTTTCTGCAGAGTTGTTTTTTCTTGACTTAATATTTTTGCAAGTTTTTTCATTTTTTGTTCATTTCTTTCTATATACTTCAATCCTTCCAACTGCAGCTGATCCAGCTTTTCATTTCGACTCTCATCTAGAGGTATGTTTTCACACATGACAGGATTGAATCTAAAGTAGGTGTCAGGAGGTAACAGACCATCAAGCATTATGTGGACTTCTGTTAAAACAAAAAAGGCGGGGTGAGGGTGGATAAGAAAAGGGTACAGTGTGAGCTGTTCTACCATAATCTATTAACTTCACCGAAATTACTTGCATTTTAGGCACATTATAAATATTTATTTCATCGCTTGAACTTATGGGAGAAGGAATCCATAATATCAAGCAAGACCACAAAATGAAATTCACTTTCCAAATATATTTTAGATATTCTGCTAAATCAGGATACTTGCTTTAGTGGTCTCCCTGTTGGAATGTCTTTCCAACCTTCCTTTTTTTGTTTTTAATTTTTGGAGATGATACTGAGGTATAATTTATATACAATTTACAAATTTAAATGGGTTATTTAGCAAAGGTGTACAAACGTACATAACACAACAAATCATGACACAGAAAATTTCCATATCCCCAAGAAGTTCTTTCTAGTCTTTTGACAGCTGGTTTCCTCTTGCCCCTCGGCTTTTCCACCTTCTCATACACAGTCTTAAGTCTATGACCCTTCCACGTCTACATTCTTTAACTCAGCAAAATGCTTCTGAGATTCAGCCATACTGTCGCACGTATCAGTTACTCTATTGCTGAGTGCTATTCCATTGTACAACTCTAACACAATTTGTTCTCTTCAGTTCTGGTTCTGGCTGTACGCAGATTTTAGCTATTAGGAAAGATCCTGCTATAAATACGCACACCTAAGTCTTTGTGTAGAAATATTATTCCATTTCCCATGGGTGAAAACCTAGTGAGGAAATCCCTGGTTATATTTTTTTGATTTGTTTTGTTGTCTTTTTGAGACACGGTCTCTCTATACAGTTCAGGCTGGACTTGAGCTCACTTTGTAACCCAGGCTGGTCTCGAACTTGCAATGATCCTCCTGCCTCAGCCTTCCCAGTGCTGGGATTACAGGTGTGAGCCATCATGCCTGGCTCTATATTTTTAAAATTATGGCTACACTGTCTTCCAAAATAGCTATGCTATTCTGACAATGAAGAAAGTAAACAGTGTTACCTTGTAGTTTTAATTTTCATCTAATGATTAACAATGCTGAGATGTTTTTGATGTACTTCTTAGTCCATTATCTTCTTCAGCGAATTTTCTTTTCAAATATTTTACCCATTTCTACTCACATAATTGCTGTTTGCCCTTAGATACTCCCCCTACAAACAAAGAATTCTCCATATATTTGAATCTGATTAAATATCTGGATTGGATAAAGGGTCAGATATTTACTTTATACATTTTTCTTTCAGGCTATGGATTGACTTTTTATTTTATTAAATACGTCTTTTGAAAAGCAAAATTTTGGAGCCTGTCTCTCAAAGCCTATACTCTTTTGAGTGTGCGCTAAAAACTCTGCTTAATAAATCCCTTTCCGCCTCTTACTGACATGTTCTGAAAATTCATTTTCTGTGATGGAAGTCAGTGAAGCTGCAGCCTGTCCTGTGCGTGGTGTGAGTCAAGAATCCCCACCTCTGCCTTGGGGACCTCCTTGGACCCTGTGAGGTGACATTTCCTCGGCACCAGGACTACAACTCTGCTAAGTGCACGGAAGAGTGACATTTGTTAGCAGGGAGGGCCAGGCGACTAGGCGGTGAGGGGGTGAGCAGGGGCTCGGGCTCTCTCACAGCTCCAGGGCACAGTTACTATTTCTCTGCCAGAGCAAGGACAGGGGGCACTCCCTAAGCGCTCCACCCTCGAGCTGACGCTGGCAGGGGGGGAAGTTATCCAGCTGGTTTCACTCTCAGCGGGCCGGCAGCTCCAAGCTGTGCTGAGAAAGGAGTGGGCACGCATTCACCCTCCCCTGGGCTGCCCCTTACAGGTGAACACAGATGGGCTCCGTATCCGCCCACCGCACTGGCCACAGGGATCTGCCATGACCCTCCCGGGTGACAGCACCTGCTTCAGCGTCGCGGCTCCCTCCCTCCTTCCCTACCTTGTCTTTTGTTTTCTATAATTTTAGTCCTCAGTTTATCTCCACATCTAAAAGTGTGTGCTTTACAGTTACTAAGTGGCATCTCCAAAATTCCCTTAAACCCTCCTGAGTTCTTTACATGCGCTAAATGTCCCTAGACATAAAGGCCCCAGAGGTGACTTTTTGAGTAAAATCTAACCTGGGTTTGACTTTTCTGATTCATTGTGAAAACTGCAAACAAATTTTTTCACCTTTTGGGGTGCTCAATGGCTGGAAGTAAACAGCTGCATACCAGGGGCAAGGATGCTTATTTACTGGCTATACCCCCAACAGGCCTGCTGCCATGTCCCAGGACAGGTTCCTGTACGACTGGCAGGGACGCCTGGACCAGTCAGGATAGAAAATGGGGGGGCATGGGGCTTAGGATATAGCCTGACCTCAGGAAAACTGGGGTGGGTCTCTGGCCTCACCTCAGGAAAACTGAGGTTGATTCGGACTGCATAAAAATGGGTTGATTAGTATTATCAGACTCTGGGAAATTTAGGGCACCATTAGGAGGACAGGTATGGCTGCTCCCGAGTGGAGGACCGAACAAGATGCTGTCCAAAAAGTACACAAGAAAGATCTGGAAGAGACATGGTGCATGGTTAACTCAAGGTCTGTCCCTAAACATCGCTGTAGGTTGTATTTTACAAAACGGGGACCATTTAAAAAAACTTTTCCCCATATTTCTCGAAAGGTAAATTAAAGAGTAAAAAGACATGGCCTCAAATTTGGTTTTATAATAAGGAGGAAAATGAGCAAAGATCCCACTGAGCAACCTGCCACTCCTCTCTCTTTCTGACTCCTCCTGGTTTAATTCTGTTGTTAATTACTAGAAGAAAATCCAAAATACTCACAGAAGCATGGAGTATTAAACAGAATACTGCCATGATTTACAGAAGGAAGTGCTAATTCACACCCCTAAGGAAAATTTTGATAGTCTGTGGTTACAAACTTAAAAATAAAAAAAAAGATTATTAGAATTCAACACATCTAGCTGGGCATGGTGGTGCATGCCTATAATCCCAGCACTCAGGAGGCTGAGGCAGGAGGACTGTTGTGAGTCCGAAGCCAGCCTGAGCTACAAAGTGAGCTTAAGGCCAGCCTGAAATGCATAGTGAGACCCTGTCTCAAAAAGACCAAAAAAAAAAAAAGAAAGAAAGAAAAAAAGAATTCAACACTTCTAAAAGTAAATTCTAGTTAAACTCCTTTATGTGTTTGCTAATTGATTAGTGATTAGCTAAAGTCCCTGCAGCTGCTGCATTTTTAATAACAAAAAATTTTTCTGAGTGCATACCAATTTCTTTTATATTTTTGCCATTACAGACCTCTGGCTACTACAGCTTTCACACAAAAAAACCGGTTATACAGATATCTCCTTATTTCTCTCCTCTTTCCAAAAAAATGATTTTGTTTCTCCTTCTAACCCTGTATCTCTATTCTGTTATTGCTGTAAAGTTTAGGAACCCTAGATAAAGTCAACCCTCATCAGATGCAAGTCTTCTCCTTCACCTTAAGTCACAGCCCTAACTGTATGCATTTACCATTGAACTAGTAACGAGTAATAGGCTAGACTGAACCATGTGGAACTGCTGTCTCTGTGGCCCAAAGCAACCTTCAATTAGTAGTTACAAGGGATTCCTCAATATAGTTCTTACTATAAGGAATGATCAAAATATGCGGTGAATGTTTAAAATTTAAAAACTGATCACCGGGGCTGGGGATTTAGCTCAGCGGCACAGCGTCTGCCTGGCAAGCGCAAGGTCGTGAGTTCGATTCCCGCTACCAGAAAAAAAAAAAAAAAAATAGAAACTGATCACCATAAGTTACATCATTATTTACCCCTTCAAAATACTCTCCCTTGCTTCAAACACACTTATTGCATCATTCTTGTCACTTTCTGACGCAGTTTTGGAAGAACAAAAGAACCCTTTCGTGAGAGTCTTTACGAGGTGAAAACTGCTGCCAAGCGCCATCCGGCAGAAGGCAGGCTTGTGAAAGCATCAGTGTGTCCTCATCCGCCAGCTCTGCACTAGGTGGCTTCCCAAAATCAAAATGACCATGAAATGCTTTGATTAAAGACAAGAAAGAAGAGCTGGTTCAGAAAGCAGGACGCTAGGTGTTGTGGCGCACACCCGTAGCCGCTGCACTCAGGCAAGAGGATCGCAGGTCCTTCCTGGGCAGGGCAGTGCAGTGACACACTGTCCCAGCATGAAAAAAGTAAAAAGAGCCAACCACATGGATTTTAAAGAAACAAGAAATGCTGCCTCAGGGTATTTACACTCTAATGATACAAACACAGGAACAGTTTCATGTTAGCTTTGATGAAGATGTATGATGTATGCTCAGAAAATTGCAATTTAGTTTTATTGTACTTAAAGACACACTGCCCTTAGTCCCTCTCAAAATACTCCCCCTTGCCTCACACACGCTTATCCCACAGTCCTTGCCACTTTTTGTGTGTATGTGGTACTGGGAATCAAATACCGTGGTATTCTGCCACTGAGCTACATCCCCAGCCCTATTTTTTTATTCTACGATAGTGTGTCACTGTATTGCCCAGAAAAATATATATTCAAAGACTAGGTCTTCTAGGGTCTGATAAATTTCAGTCTATCAGGTTTTTACATTTTGTTCCATGTGACAGGAGCCTAGAGGGTTTTGAGAAGGGAAGGAATGATTAGACTTACATTTTAAATGGATCTCTTCAGCCTTTATAGCAAGAAGACTAGATCATAGGGCAGTGAGAATGAAAGCAAGGCCAGGTGAGGTGGTACGTGTCTCTAATGTCAGCACTCAGGAAACTGAGGCAGGAGGATCACTGTGAATTTGAGGTCTGCTTGGGCTACAAAGTAAGTTCAAGGTCAGTCTGAACTATATAGCAAGACCCTGCCTCAGAAAACTAAAACAAAGCCGCGCATGGTGGCGCATGCCTGTAATCCCAGCACTCAGGAGGCTGAGGCAGGAGGATCCTTGCGAGTTCAAGACCAGCCTGGGCTACAAAGTGAGCTCAAGGCCAGTCTGAACTGCATATCGAGACCCTGTCTCAAAAAAAGACCAAAAAAAAAAAAAAAAAACTAAAACAAAACAAAACAAACAACAAAGGAAATAACAACTTACTCTGATTGCAGTTTGCCTCCACATTACTAATAACGTGATGCCGTTAAGTACTGCACTCTCTCTCACAGTTACTATACACACCGTTGAACCAACCTGAGTCCTTTTGTTGTTTTCCTCTCTCTTAACTGTGTAAGACCCTCCACTGACGCTTTTGTGCTGTCCCTGCTTTAGTCACCCCCCAGGTCTAAGCAGGCAAAGGCAGTGCCCGCTGCTAGTGGTCTCTATGATCACCCAACACGAAAAGGGAGAGGAAAGGGGCCATAACACACTGCCTCCGCGTGCTTCCAACACCCACAACTCTTCTGCACTTCCCTGCAGCATATTCTACCATAACCTCAGCATTCTAAACTGCAGTGTCCCTGACAAACGGACCTTCGGTGTCTGTCGCGCTGTTGATGACGTTAGAGAGTTTGGTTTTCAAGCTCGTGTAGGTCGCGTTGTTCTTCACGTCACTCTCGTAGCGTCCTGTGCCCAGGGACACGATGCACTCTAGCGGGACATCTGGCCAAAGACATTTACACTCATGCATTGCTAATGCAGAAGGGTTATTCAGAAGCAAGCCTCCATCCTACAGAAATAAGTTTTAAAAAGGGCTCTTAAAAGTGAAATTGTATGTTATGAATACGAAGAACAAAAACTATTTTAAGGAATTGGACACTTACTTAGAGGGAAAATTGAGCAACAAATTAAGCCAAACAAAAATTATTTAAAAACAAGACATTCTTTTAAAGTGAATTAACTTTATTATCTATAGCTACAAAAGCTGAAAACCTTGTAGCCTGAGGAAATTTTGTATTAAAGCTTGCTTTTCTATTTTTAACAAATTCTTGATTGCTTTGCCTATTTGGCTCAAAATAAACTGAGCTACTTTTTGAAAGATAAATTATCTTTATTTAGTAGTTAATATATTAATAAAGTGAATAGAAAAGAGCTCTGCTTCTAACTAAACAGTGACAACCATTTCTCTCACAAGTCAAATATAAACACATTTTAAACTAAAAGTTCACTAACAATACACACTAAATTCTAAATTAAAATTTCACTAACAATACATATCAATGACATATACATTACAATACATATACAACAATACGTATCAATGACAATGCAGTTATAACCTAAATAAAGTAGGTCAAATTTTATATTTCTAAACATTAGTCAATAATCAACATTAGCTGGGCATGGTGGTGCATGACTGTAATCCCAGCACTCAGGAGGCTGAGGCAGGAGGATCCCTGAGAGTTCAAGACCAGCCTGGGCTACAAAGTGAGCTCAAGGCCAGCCTGAACTGCATAGCGAGACCCTGTCTCAAAAAGACAAAAAAACCCACAAAACATTATTTTCAAGAATTCAGAAATAAAGGTAAAATTTGCTCATGAGTACTATAAAAACAAAAGTATTTAAAATTAGAGTCAAACTACAAGAGAATGTATATTAAATAAATGTTAAATATTAAAACATACTACATTATTAATATTATATGTTTGATTTAAAAGCCAGAGAACTATTATCTGATTTAAGATAGTTTAAATGTAGCCAGGTATGGTGGCTACACTTAAAGTTCAACCAGACTGGGCAATGTGGGGACTTTAGTGAGACCCTGTCTCAGAATGAAAAAAGGACTGGGGATGAAGCTTTAGTGCAAAGGCCCTTGGTTTAATTTCCAGTATCTCAAAGCAAAACAAGATAAAACCAAACCAAAACCAAAACCCTAAGCAGAGTTTAAGTGACTACTCAGGTTGTTTTAATAGTTTCCATAAATACCCTGGATATATTTCCTTTGTTAAATCTATGCATATCTTGCATTTTCTTCCTGTGTGTAGCTTGTCTCTTAATTCTCTTGGCAGTATCTCTGAAGAGCAAAAGGTTTTAATTTTGATGAAGTTCAATTTATCAGTTATTTTCTTTTATGGATGACTTCAGTATAATTATAAGAAATCTTCACATAACCCAAGGCCATGGGGATATAGCTCAGTGGCACAAGCGCCTGCCTGGCAAGCGCAAGGTCCTGGGTTCGATCCATGGTACCAAAAAAAAACAAAAACCAAGGCCATAAAGTTTTCCCTTCTATTTTCTTTTAGAAGTTTCATAGCTTTCTGTTGCATTCAGAACTATATCCACTTTGAATAATCTCTGCATATAAGGTGTGAGGTGAAGTCAATTTTTCTGCTGTATGTCTGCGTGCAGGACAGAAAAGAAGGCAGAGAGAGAGAGAAAAAGGGAAAGAAAGAGAGACCAAGATACAACCAACTGTTCCAATGGAATCTGCTGAAAAGACTACCTTTACTTACTCCACTGGCTGCTTTTGCATCTCTGCCAAGATCAAAGACCATGTATGTACATGTAGGCCCATTTCTTGACTCCCTGTTCTGTTCCATGTATCTATATTCTATCTTCACGTAAACACAACACTGTCATGATGACTGTACCTGTGTAGTAAGCTTTTTAAAACTGGGTTTATGATTCCTCCAACCATGTCTTTCTGTTTCAAGAATTTGTTTTAGCTATTTTAATTCCTCTATCCTTCATGTAAGTTTTACAACCTGGTTATATAAAAAAATAATTAGTTGTGGCCTGATACAAGGATAATTTGGTAGGTTCTGGACAGGCTCTGTTAAAAAGTATACTTTAACTGTACTATTTATATGAAATTCATATTTTTTAAGGTTAATGGATCTGAAACTCTGAACATAACCTTTTGAAATGTAAACAAAGGCTAAGAGAAATAATATCTCAGACCCAGTCATCTAAACCTTTAACGTAAGGGACTGGAGCGTAACTCATGTGCGGAGCATATACAAGGCCCCAGATTCTATCTCCTGAAAGATCTTTACCAAGGAACAACTTATCAGATTCTTTCTCCAAAGACGGAATGAACAATTTAATTTGGGAGATGGAGAGGTTAAAAAAGATGGGATAATTCTGTGTCAAAAGTATCACCTCAAGATAAATTTTATGCCACTACTTGAGTAAGGGGCAGTGACTGGAAGCTAATTAAAGAATTCCTCCTACTTCCCAATTTTCTAGGACACATAATATGCCTTGTAAGTACTGTAATAAAGTTCTTTTTATAGCCAAAGGCAAATGACACATTCCTATCCATCTATTCATACCCCTTAATTATAGCACTACTTTCAGTAACTGCTCGGAATATTGAACTATAATTTATGTTCTACCTAGCTCTAAAAAAGATATGAAGTAACTTGAAATAAGACACATGTTAGACATGACAGTGAAAATAGAATTTTGAAATGAGACTAGAAGTAACTGAATATAATTATTCAAAGGATTTAGGATGAAAAAGTTGTAGTAAGTACTGTATTTTAGTGCTAACCTTGGCAACTTCAAAGGATTAGAAAGAGGCAGAAATTTTGCTTGAATGTTTTCTAGCTAAGCATTCAAGTTGTTCATACTTTAGAAATTCTCATCAATCTTTTCAGCTGACTTCTGAGAGGAAAAAAATAGCCATTTCTTCTCCCTCAAATCTTAGAAGAACAGACTTTATCATGAGACAAATGCTGAAATAGGTTCTTTGAACTCCAGATCCTATTTGAAGATTCTTATTAAGTTAAATGAGCCAATTTTTCTGGAGACCACTGACTTACATATATCCTTTTCCATCCTTTACATACAATTTATATAGAAGTTATTTTAGTCTACAGCTCAAAAGAATTTGCAAGATTTATGATCATTAATATAAAAGTGGCTAAGCATGAAAAGAAATATCACTAGCCTACATATATAAAGTGGAAAAGGTACCACTGAATTACTTGGGTTTGTTTTATGTACATATACATCTTCAATAGGACTGAATTAAGTTTTAAAAATACTTCCTCTTAAATAAGGAATATAGAGCCAGGCGTGGTGGCGCACACCTATAATCCCAGCACTTGGGAGGCTGAGACAGGAGGATCATTGCAAGTTCGAGACCAGCCTTAGCTACAAAGTGAGCTCAGGCTAGCCTGAACTACATAGCGAGACCCTGTCTCAAAAGACAAAAAAAAAAAAAAGAATGTAGAACAAATGAAATTAACTTCTTTTGAAGTGTGCAAATGATTGGTCCTGAAATGCAGTTACTTACTACTTGAAAAGTTCCCTGTTATTTGGCATAACTGCAAGTTTGTAGCAGGACATGCACCTTAAAGTTATACTTTATGAACCTTAAATATTTTACTTTAAATACATAGTCTAAATTATTTCTCCATTTATGACATGGCCAGAATAAAATAAGAATAGCAGCAAGAAGTTGTTAAAGACAGGAAGCTACATATTCAAATGAACTTTTTGATCATTAAATTAGATTTTATAAACAGGAAGAAGCATGGGTTTACAACGAGGCATGCTTATTCAGTTTTGTCAAAATTTTATGAAAATGTGACATTTACACTAAAACTACTATATAATTCTTAGATTTAGGAAAGCAATAGTTAGTATCTCTAGCAGATTAAAACTGTATTAAATACAAGTTAAAAATTGTAAAAAACTGAAAGACAATGATGAACAATGTCTATGGTAAGGAATAAAAAGCTTAAGATACTATAAAATTATGTGTATTTTCTTTTACGTAAATCACGTGAGTGATATTAATTAGGATTTACTTTTCAATATAACGTGGAGACCCTTTGTCACCCGCCAAAAACAACAAGTTTCTGTGCCTAAACAAAAATGAGTAAATCAACAGCCAGCACTTTTCTCCCTGAGGACGGGGGAGAAAAAGAAAAGAGGCAACAAGGGGAAGTACCCTGCATAATTCAACAAGGACTGATCTGGCGAAGTAAAAAGTCTCAAATGATTCCAATGATAAAACGAATCCTATTTTAATCTCTTCACTACAAAGATTATGACATTGCTTTTACAAAGAAAAGAAAATGGGATAGCTGACCGTAGCATTTTAGATCAAAGCTACACTATTCTATCAAAACATAGAAGCAAATAAAGCTGATAAAATATTTTAGTTGTTTAACCACTGAGACATGTAAAGTAAAATTACCCATGAGAAAGTTTTGATGTTTATATACCTGATACACACCTTATACAGGTCTATTTATGAGCTTTGAATGCCATATGAAAGTCCTTGTCAATAATATTAGATTTTTTTCACAACAGATATTTGAATCCCAAGAATAGACAGCACACATACTTTGGTGATTAGAAAATTAAACTTACTGGTTCCATCAAATGAAACTAATTTTAATTGGGACATCCCATAAAAACTATCAGCTCAAAAGCTTTATTGATTTTATCAATTAATGTTAGTTATGAATTAAAATTTCTATGAATAGTGGGAAAAACTTGACAGAGAAAAAATGTTAAGTGAATGAGTTTATAGAATAGAAAAGAATTATCAGAATAATATCTGATTTTAAAGATAATTTAACCATAAATTTTCAACAGGATAATTACAGATAGCATCCTAGTTGTCCCTTAACAGCTGAGACTCCACCTAAGTACTTCCCCTACTTAACTTTAAGATTCCAATTTCTGAAGCGTAAGATGGAAATAGTTCTGTCTCATGAGTAGCAATGACTAAATGAGAAAACACATGCAAAGCATGAAGTAAGTGTATGGCACACAACTTAGTGAGTGTTTACTATTATTTTATTATACTATCTCCAACTATGCTGTCAAGCAGACTGGGTTCTGCATTTTCAGAGAATGATTTGCATTTTCAGGGTTTTTTTTGTTTTTAAGACAGGGTCTCCTTATGTAGTTCAGGCTAGCTTTGAACTCACTATGCAGCCCAGGCTGGTCTCAAACTCCCACTGACCCTCTTACTTCAGCCTCCCAAGTGATAGGATTACAGGCATGCTCCACCATGCTTGGCCATTTTTAGATTTTATCATGTGAAGCTAATCACATATTATCTCATTTTTTCATCAATAAAAACTAGGCCTTTGCACTAAGGTACATCTCCAGTGCTTTTTATTTTTTATTTTGTGATGGGATCTCACTAAGTTGCTAAATTGTCCAGGCTGGGGCTGAACCTGCAATCTTCCTGATTCAGTCTCCCAAAGTGTAGGGATTACAGATGTGTACCACCATTCCCAGCTTTGAATTGCGTATTTCTGGACATACAGTATTAACACTGAAGAAGTCTCCTTGATTGATCCTTGTCAAGTTGATGGACATTTAATAACAGCTGATTCTTAGTCACATAAAATTTAAAAGAACAGCCATGTAAGTCTACTTACTTGATGAAGATCATTTCCCAACGCATATTCTGCAAAGTAGCCCGGGGCAGCAGATGAGGCTCTAATGGCCTGCCACATTTTATATTGACACCCTCCCAAATAATGAGAGTTGATTCCAGGAAAATGACCATAGTTTCTGAACACAAAAGCTTTTGGTGTTATCCCTCTGTTTACTACGGTACTTACAGCAGCCACCTAGAAAATGAAAAAATAAACAATACCACTGTAACAGCAATATTTAGGATCTGCAGAAATTAAATACTATTTAGCAGTATGAATAGACAATCTTCAGCTCTCCAACAAAATCAAGGTGTAACACAGGTATTTTCATGGCAAATACATATAAGGCTAGTGGTAATTCCGAGAAGTATATTGGAAAAAGACAATAAAGATATATTTGATTACATAATTTTATTTAAAAGACACATATATTTCTAGATCTTTTTAACATAGTAGTAATAAAAACTACTTAAAGATGAATAATATATGCATTTTCACAATTTCTACAAGTACTTTCATAATACATGCATCATTTTCAAGTTAGTCTTTTGTTTCCATGTTATTTTAAAGTATAGTGATTCTATTCTAGCTAAAACATGATACTATGCAAACTCTTAGTGATCTTAAATCATAGATATTAGAAGTTGGTAGCTAGACAATTTTTATCAAGAAACTTTAACATCCATCATTCATTCCAGGTGTCAGATTTTGCTGTCCACTGGGTTTAAATAAAATGTGCTATTATTTATTATGATTTGTAATATGAGCTTAAGAGGCAAAAAAGTAAGCAGGCCAAAGTTTTCAGCATCCTGTGCCAAGTCCTACTATGGACCAGTTTGTCTTGCATTTAATGAACAAAGGTCATATGCTAAATTCCTGCAAGTTATTCATTTCCATCCCTAGGCCACTCTGGAGAAGAGTTCGTCAAACATTAAATCCAGGTCTTTAGATAATTGGTACAGAATACAGATAAAACTGGATTAAAATGTACGGGATATTGCTCTCATACATTGGATGACGAGGAAGTACTTTCTGACCAAAATTTCCCCATACTCACAATATTCTTTTATTTAAAGGTGGTAACTTCCACAACTTGGAAGCAAGCAAGGAGACAGAGTCCAGGAGATACAGGGAAACAAACACGAGGTAAACAGTACATCCTAGGGTCCTCTCCAAGAAACAGCTAAGTCACCCATTACCATGGCCTGTGAGGCCGTGCGTAGCGGGATCCGCCCACTGCTCAGCCTCACACCACGTGCTGCCCTGGGATCCTTGGACTCCAGTCTTCGAAGCTCTTTCAGTTCCTGGAATTCTCCATGATGCCTCCTGCACAGGCCATTCCCTCCGCCCCTCTGGCAGCAATGTTCCTACTCACAGCCTTCAGTGATTCTCACAGAGCAGCGTTTTCGTGTGTTTCTTCAATACGTGCTTTCCAAGCGCTCCTCGGTACTTACTTTGGGGAGCCCTGTCTCATCTGTGTGACTACTGTGTCAGTGGCTACATCGGCTTACAGGGCTGTAAACTCCATTGCTGCATTTGCTCACTACGCATCCAACGTGCCTAGCACAGTGCTCCCACAGTGGGTGCACAGTTAAAATGTACAGAATGAATGAAAGCATGAAAATACCACTTAGCCGGGCGAGTGGCACAGGCCTGTAATCCCAGCACTCAGGAGGCTGAGAGAGGAGGATCACTTTGAGTTCAAAGCCAACCTGGGCTACACAGTGAGTTTGAGGCCAGCCTGGACTATATAGTGGCACCTTGTGTAAAAAAAACAAAAAACAAAATTAAAAAAAAAAAAACACATAGTGAGTTCAAAGCCGGTCTGAACTACATAGAGAGACCCTGTCTCAAAAAAAAAAAAAAAAACAACCGAAGAAACAAAAAGAAAATGCCAGTTGTATTTGATTGTTCATTACCAGTGTGTCATCCAAGAATAAATACAAGATACATGAGATTCCTAGGCACAGAAATTATATTCCTCAAGCAAATAAGTATTACCCTAAAAAAATAGAACTCAGACAGTACTCAGATAATCAGGTTTTAAAAGAATGAAGTCACACTGAGACATATCTTTAAAATTGGGATTCTACTTGTACATGAATACTATATAGATAGATAGATAGATAGATGGCACCTGAAATTTCTCTTTAAAAACCTAGGGGAGGGGCTGGGGATTTAGCTCAGCGGCAAAAAGCGCCTGCCTGGCAAGCGCAAGGTCGTGAGTTCGGTTCCCGGTACCAGAGAAAAACCAAAAAAACAAAAAACAAAAAACAAAAAAAAACCTAGGGGAAAAGCCGGGCATGGTGGCACATGCCTGTTATCCTAGCACTCAGGAGGCTGAGGCAGGAGAATCGTTGCAAGTTTGAGGCCAGCCTGGGCTACAAAGTGAGCTCAAGGTCAGCCTGAACTGCATAGTGAGACCTTGTCTCAAAAAGACAAAAAAGAAAGAAAGAAAGAAAAACCTAGGGGAAGAAATGTAGTAATGGTTCTTAAATTACTAGATTTCATTAAAATAATTATGATAAAATAATTCTTCTCCATATTTAGTTCCAGACTTTTCTGTTCTTAAACTTCTGTGGTATTTTTTACTGGACAGAGAAAAGATCTACTCATCACATCCCATACATTCACAGAATGACACTTTATGTAAAGGAATTAATAAAATCTATTGGTTAAGACTTGTTCTCAACAAAAAGGTCCTGGGAGTGAGCACCTTTGCCAGATCTTCTTCTAAATGCTACATTTAAGAGACTTCACATACCTTAGGACACGCAGGGTTTCTTGCTGTTTCGATCATTAGTGCAGAGCCCATTCTATCCCTTTATTAAATGAGAAGAAAAAAAATTATATCAAAATTATTTTCTCTCTTAACCATCGGGGAGCATACACTGTGTAGTAACTGCTCCCAATAGCTGTGTCAAAGTGCTATAAGGGACAAAAAAAATAGTAATCTCCTCTAAGGGTCTTATAATCCAATTAATTCATGTGAAACAATATGTAGTTATTGATTGATCTCTACCTCCAACTGCAAATGTCTATGGTTCTGAGGTGGATCAATCAACACAGGCTGCAGTAACCAAAAAAGATGTATAGAAGTGTACTTGTAGTTTGAGAAACACAAGAAAAGATAGCAAGGAAATATACTGAGAGCTGGCATATATATAGGGCAAAGAAATAAAAGCAGAATAAAGCTACTGTTTTCGGGGTCCTACTGACAGGAAGAACAAGTTTTGTTAAGACTGCAAAAGTGTGCACAGACTAAGGTTACCTAAAAACCAGGTCAAGACACTCAGACATTAAATGTGTGTGACATACAAGTACATGTAGGTACTGGGAGGCCATGGAGAGCATGTAGGTATAGAGTCAATGTCATCAAAAAACTGTTTTTATCATCATCTGAGTTGGCATTTGAACTGCTGCAACAGTCCAGAAATTGTTCTTGCACGGTAGTTTTTACAACAGCATTATAAGGAATTTAATTTTAATGAAGCTTTTATTTCTTTTTTTTTTGAAGCTTTTATTTCAATTTTAAAAAGTATTTTTCCCTGAACATAAAGACTATTGTTTTACCAAGCTTTCTAGTGAGTAAAGCCATTTTCCTAGTGCCACTTTCACACAATAGTCATGTTTTTCAACTAGAATTTAATGGATTTCACATAAAGGTAATATTTACAAACTGCTCAGTGATCTATCCTTTATAAGCTTCTCTAAGTATCAGTATAAAATACTCAAGCATTGTTTTCCAAGAGACAAGATTCTTGCCTCCTCAACCTCTTCTCTTCAGAAAAAATCAGCACATTTATAAAACAGGATAGCAGACAATCATTAAAACATGTTCTGAGGTAGGAGGATCACCACGAATTTGAGGCCAGCCTGGGCTATACAAGTGAGTTCAAAGCCAGTCTGCACTACACAGTGAGACCCTGCCTCAAAAACAAACAAAAAAATTTAAAACATGTTTTAAAAATATTAATGAGGGGCTGGGGATTTAGCTCAGCGGCAAAAGCGCCTGCCTGGCAAGCGCAAGGTCCTGAGTTCGGTTCCCGGTACCGGAGAAAAACCAAAAAAAAAAACAAAAAACAAAAAAAAATAAAAATATTAATGAAATAAGAGATAATTTGTAATAAACTCCAAATTAAAATGCAGGATACCAAACTACATATACATTATCACCCCAATGTTTAAAGTAAATGATTATGTAAACACAACACATACACACTCATTTCTTTGCAGGAAATTGTAGACAGAAATGTTCAGAGTGTTTTTTGTTGTTGTTGTTGTTTTGTTTTTGCTCTTTTTGAGACAGAGCCTAACTATGCAGGTCAGGCTGGCCTTGAACTCACTTTGTAGTCCCCAGCTGTCCTTGAACTCACAGCAATCCTTCTGCCTCAGCCTCCCTAGTGCTGGGATTACCAGGATGCGCCACCATGCCAGTTTAATAGTGGTTTCGTTCCTAGTGGGATTAAAGATTACTTCCATTGTCTTTTTTATATATTTTCTATTTCTATGATAATTATTTTAAAAAGATATGAATATTTGAACCAATAAATATGCATCTTATCAATATTGGCATATTCTGAAATGTGCACAGAAATCTAAAGTTTCCTATCACAGCACTGTTCACAAACACAAAAACTTAAGAAAAATGTAAATGTCTGCAAATATCCTAAATGGAAATCGTTACAGAAGTACAGTACCACCAGTGGAATGTAGTACAGTCTTTAAAAATATGTCACGAGCTTTTTACAAAGTTGGATAAAAGGGAAAGGATATAAATTTACAACTACAATAAAATTTTGGCTACATAAAACATAATTACAAGTGCATACAGTCAAGGCAAAACCAGGAGATATACTGCAAGATCTACAGGTCGGAGTAATAGGATCACAGCTGATTTTAAATTTCTATGTTTAGCCAGGCGTGGTGGTGCACACCTGTAATCCCAGCACTCAGGAGGCTGAGGCAGGAGGATCGTTGAGTTCGAGACAGCGTGGGCTACAAAGTGAGCTCAAGGCCAGCCTGAACTGCACAGAGACGTTGTCTTAGAAAGACCAAAAAAAAAAAAAAAAAAAAAAGTAGTAAGAACTTTTTTTGTTTTGTTTTTTTTCAGACAGGGTCTCACTATGTAGTCCAGGCTGGCCTTCAACTCATAGTAATTCTCCTGCCGCAGCCTCCTGAGTGCTGGGATTACAGCTGTGTATGCCACCATGTCCAGCTAAGGAGAACATTTTTAAAAAGAACAATCATAACTTACTTAAGAATCTTTTCCCATGTTTGACTGTCATAAAATGCATGGCTCCAACTCATTTTGACTGTGCCAACAATGACATTTTGTGAAAATACATCTGATCCTAATTTTCGATAAAGTTCTTCACATTCATCCAAAGGCATATGAAACAATCCCAACATGAAAGCTAATACGGCACCTGAAAGAAAGAATTGTTAGTTTGTATTGGCATTGATGTTACTTGCACTTATAAGATCTTCTGAGTCACTGACCTGGCTTAAATTCGAGCTATCTCAACTGGGACAGATTACTTAATTTCTCATAGTCCCATTTTCCATCTATAAAAAGGGGATAAAGATCTATCTCCCCACCTACTGCTATCTCTTCATTTAGCCTTTCTTTATAATGTGGGTTTCTCATATGACAGAAACCACGTGATATTTAAGCTTGTGTATGCTTACTTAACATTAGTGAGGGGACAGGGAGGAGAAGGAAAGGGAATGAATTGGGGCTGGGGATTTAGCTCAGCAGCACAGCGCCTGCCTGGCAAGCGCAAAGTCATGAGTTCAATTCCCAGTACCAGAAAAAAAAAAAAAAAAAAAAGAAAGGGAATGAAAAAAGAAATTAAGGCGTGCTATGTACACATACCAACTCCACACAAGGAACATAAACATTATGTACTAATAAAATAATAAAAAGAAGAAATAATAAAAATAAAAAGAAGAAAAAAATAATAACTAAAATGCATTAATAAAAAATAAAAAGAAGAAAGAAAAATAATAACTAAAATGCATCAGTCCATTATACTGACCTAGAACAAGCACAAAATTTTCCTGGGTTCCAAAAATGTATTTATAAATGCTACCCCAACATGATGATGATGATGAAGGGGCTGGGGATTTAGCTCAGCGGCAAAGTGCCTGCCTGGCAAGCGCAAGGTCGTAAGTTCAGTTCCCGGTACCAGAGAAAAACCAAAACCAAAACCAAAACCAAAACCAAAACCAAAACCAAAACCAAAAAAAAAAAAGAAACTAACCAACATCATGATGATGATGATAATAATAATAAATAACACTTTTAAAATATTTTAAAATGTTGCTTACACTAAATTAAATAATATATAAGATAGAGATCATGGTAGATAATGGCCTAACATTAATAAATTACTTAATTTTAGTAATTGAATAGAGTATATTGAAAACTCACCGATTTATTAAGCAATTACTACTTCAGGTTGGTCCTAGAACCAATGTAATTAAAGAAATTAGTTACTCTGGGATGTCCTTTTAAATAAAGAGCTCATCTACTAGCTGCAATTGGGAGGACACACTGCCACCTAGTGTGTCTAATTGGCCTAACCCTGAAGGAAAGAAAAGAGAAAGCTTTGGGGCCTGGAGAGCTCAGAGGACAGGGCAAAGACATGCTCATTATTACCGCCTAACCTGGGACTGCAGCAAATCACAAAGGAAAAACGAGAAATCACTACCATAATGCAGTCTCAATGTTTAATTCATTTTACTATAATTGGTATATCAGTAAAAGATCAGACAAGTTATGTTTTAAAAATATGTTACAGCTTAACCATACATTAGAAATTATTTTTTAATTTGCATAGATTTTTCTAACTATCATCACAACTTGCAAATAAGTTAATTTCTTTTTAAATGGAACAACTACAAAGGTGCATAGATATTTAAAAACATGAATTAATCTTATTACTAGCAAGCTATTACACCTTTAAACTAATAATATACTGTACTAACTTTACAAAGATCACAGGTGCAAACAAATATGGAATATAAAAAAGAAAAAAGGAAAAATATTATCATACAAGTTCACATTAGTATAAATAAAACAACAAAAATGATATATTTTAATACAGAAATGTACATAGTACATAACCTAAACCTTTACATCATAAATGAATGAGTTGAGATTCTCTTTACTGAGCTTTCACTAACAATAGAGCCAAAGTAAGAGGTTAGCTTCTAACACGTTTAAATGTTCCCAGGACCATTCCAAATATAAGAGACATGATCATAGTAATATTTCCAAAGAGCATTATAGTCATGGGAACTGTCTCTTATAAGAAGTTTCCAGAGTTAAATCAATTTGGGATCTATTTATCATGTTCTTATTTTGAGAGTCACATTTTCAATATGCTAAAATTGCTGAGGATCCTCTGTAAAGAAATATGTTCTTACTTTAACCCAACATTTTCTATCCTAGGAAAGTAGTGTTTTATGATTCCTCACACCAAGGGATTACTCAGGTTTTTAGATCATCCCTGTAATTGTTCCCATTCAATTAACATGCCTTTTGGTAGTATCTGTCATGTTCAAAATGATGTAGAGAAATCACTTGATTTTGTTTGTAGTGAACTACTACAAACTAGACAACTACTATTGTAATTTAAAAGAATGAGAAAAAGGTATAAAATTTATGAAGTGAAATACTTCAAAGAATAACAACTGGGGTCTCACCTTATTAAAAAGCTTTTGCAAAGCAAAAGAAATCACCAATAGAGTGAAAAGACAATCCAGAGTGGGAAAATATTTTAGCCAATTGTCCCCAACAATTTTAGCCAACTGTCACCAACAAAGTGAAAGGAAAACCCACTGAGTGGGAAAATATTTTAGCCAATTGTCCCTCAGACAAAGGACATGTAGAACATATAAAGAGTCAAAAAAAATAAGATCCCTCAAATTCAAAGACCCAATAAAAAGTGGGCATCTGAGATGAATATACACTTCTCAGATGAAGAAATACAAATGTAAATATATGAAAAAATGTTCAACATCATTGGTCATTTGAGAGATGCAACTTAAAACAACAATGAGATTCCATCTCACCCCAGAAATAAGTATCATCAAGAAATCAACCAATAACCACTGCTGGCAGGGCTGTAGGGTGAAAAGAACTCTTCTCTACAGTTGGTATGAGTGTAGACTGGTACAACCATTGTGGAAATCAGTGTGGAGATTCCTCAAAAAACTAGGACTAGAGGTCCCATTCCACCCAGCTATTCTCCTGCTAAGTATCTTCCCAGAAGAACTGAAAACATCATACCACAGCGATATATGTGCACCCATGTTTATAGATACACAATTTCTCATAGCTAAATCCTGGAAATAACCTAGATGCTCATCAACTGAGGAATGGATAAAAAAGATGTGGTAATTTCATATAGTGGAATACTACTGAGCCATAAATAAGGATAAACTTGACACTTTTATAGGTAAATGGATGCCAACTTGAGACCATACTCCTAAGTGAAATAAATCAGACTCACATGTGTAAACACCATATTGTCTCCCTGGTGTGAGAAACTGAAAGAGTAAATAGGTGCTAAAATGTTCAATAGATACTGTGAAATGGCAGGAAATTGTTAAAAAGAAAAAAGGAACTAGATTGGTGAAAAGGGAAAGGACAGTAGGGAAAAGGGAAAAAAGTGCAAGTCAGTTATACTATTAGTGTCTCAAAATGCATTAAAAAGGTTTGAGCTAATATAGATTTGGAGAAATTTATATGCCTGTATCTTGTACCCTGAGCAACTACTTTAAAGATAACAACAAGTAATGTATTAACTATTGTTACTCTATTATTCTGTTATGAAATTTTGTTTTATCTTTTCTCCATAAAAAAAAAAAATCTATGAAGTGTAAACTAACAGAAATGAGAAATTATCAGGTCAAACAGTAAAATTCAAAGTAACAATCACACTAAATTGCCAATTCTTTTCATAAAAACAATATCTTATTATACCACTAGCAATATGTAAAAGTAGCTTTCTAAAAACACAATTCTCAAATTTATGGATTTAAATTCTGGTTTCAAACAACCATCTAAAAATCATGCATAAAGCAATTTCCTCATTGAGAGACACCTCTCACAGAGGAGTAAGATCTTATCTTTGATTTTCTATTGGTTAAATACAGTGAGTACTTATCTTCCTTGTATTTCATCACTCTTTTTACCATGACAATTCCATAAAACAACAGTAATTTGTCTTACAACAGTAATTTGCCCTGGCTCACTGAAAATATACTATAAAAGCACATAAAATCAATTTCTGAATGTTAATCATAACAAACATTTTTAAAAATTCATTAAGCAAATCAAAGGATTATCATAAATACATGCAATATCCATCATTTCAGAGAATGACCCTGGATATTAAATCCAACCGCTTAATGTTCTTTTCCTTAACGTGCTGCGAGAATGCACGACTTCTGTGTTGCTAATAGTTACCTGTGCTTACACCACAAATGTAATCAAAGAGCTGATGAACTGGCTTCTGAGTTAGTTCAACTAATTTCCGCAGTGTCTGAAGAGCAACCACACCCCTGTAGAAAAGATTAAATGCAAAGTGGGAATTCCTGTCTCAAGGAATATTAATTCAAGTTACTGAATCGAACAATGCTATAAATTGCTTGTGTACCTTATATGCTAACATGAAAACTAATAATATAAATTACCACTGCCTCACCAAAATTGAGACTCACTGTTGAAAATCTAGAACCTAAAGGATATAAAATCTGTACAATGGCAGCACATTTAAAAATTTGTATTAGTATCTTTAAAAATACTAATGCAGCAACGTGCTGATACGTTTTTAAAAAACATCTCAACTCCAGCCAGGCATGATGCTGCACACTGCCATCTCAGCACTCAGGAGGCTCAGGCAGGAGGACGGTTGTGCCCTGCTTGGGCTACGTGTAGTTCAAGGCCAGCCTGAACCGTACAGTGAGACCCTATCTCGAAACAAACAAACTCAACTCTAGAAAACATTTAAAACTTCTCATTAGCTTTGGGATGACGTTCATTGGTTTCTTCTCTTATCAATACAGTTGGTTATCTCTGCTTCTATATATAGTGTTTTGTATATTTTACTAGTCAGGTATTTAAGTTCCTACTTGGTCATTTCTAAAAACTTAATAAAGGTAAGACACTAGGCATATTCATTAATGCTGCTGACTGATAATTTCTGGAACTCTGTCAAGGGTAGTAAATCGCTTCATGAAGAAATGTGAGAAGATGGAAAGTCCTGGAAGGGTAGGGTGCATTGTGGGGATGATTCTTTTTTTTTTTCCTTGCTTATATTTTTTATGAAACTGTGAAATCCTTCACCCTTACACTTGGAAAAAAATTTGTCACTAACAGGCAGAAGGAGCACATGTCACACAGTTTTCAATTCTTAACACTGGGAGATAAAGAGCAAACAAAGAAAACTTCTATTTCCACCCCCAAAGAGTGAGGCAGGTCAGTTCTAGAACACAGTGTTACTTTGGTGCCACAAAGCAAAATTCAGAATTTAAATTATATCTTGTCACTGCTCACAGGAAGTCACCAAGAAGTATTCTAAGGTTAAAGTAGAAAAACTAAGGACTGATTTTTTTATGGTGACAAAGAATGTGAATTTGAGAATAATGTGCCTTATGAAAACGAAACATTAATTCAAGGTGATACATAAAGAATTAAAGACAATACCAAATAAAACATATTTAACAGTGTGACCTCTTTTCTGTACACATCACATGGAAAACATTTGATGAAAATATTAAAATAATCTTGAAGCTTTTAGCTATGTTTTTTTTTCTTTTTTCTTCACCCAAGTTTTTCTAACCACTTACATAATCAGGGGAAAAACTTATTTAAAAATGAAGTATTCATAAATGAATTCAAAATGAATATATATAATCTCTTCATACTTGCCAGGCTGCTATTTGCACAACGCTGTACTACAAGGTTGTCACACACATATACACACAGGCACATTATTGGTTTCTTTTACTCAAAGCCCTCAGACCTTACTGCCTCCCACACAAACCTCCCCCTCTGGCTGCCTGTTCATACTTCCCTAACCTGCACTCCCTCAACAGCCGCGCCTCTGACGCTCTGGCTGGCTAACGCTTTGCTTTCTTTGGGGAAATGCTCTATGTGTTAGAGGGCGTTCAGCAGCAAATGTGCCCTTCAAATGAGATGTGAGCAGAGGGCCTCCAGTGTGACAACAAAAACCGCTTCCATACAATGCCAAGCACCCTCTATGTGACAACACTGCCTCCACTAGAGGATCACTGATCCCAACTTACCTTCATCCTAACATACTCCTACGCTTCCCTTAATTTCTTCACTAATTTCTTCCCTCTATGACTAATAAAACCCTTCTCCTATAAGATCAAATATTTATGAGGCCCAAATGTCTTTTCACCATACCTCTCTCACTTTAGCTATCTGGATGTTCTTCAATATTCTTTCAGATCTATACTTAATTTCTTACTTCTTAAAAAAAATCAGTCAGGACCCTTCTTTAAAATACCACTATTAAGGGGCTGGGGATTTAGCTCAGTAGCAAAGTGCCTGCCTGGCAAGCGCAAGGTCATGAGTTCGATTCCTGGTACCGGAAGAAAAGACAAAAAAGAAAAAAAAATACCACTAGTAGGCTCTACTCTTTTAATTTGCTTTATTTTTTTCCACAGTTCTCATTACTACACAATAAAATGTTTTTGTTTTTCCATGTGATTTTTTCCTCCTCTGGAATGCAAAGGAGGACTTTTCCTGCTCCTTACTCGTTTAACTACCACTTTCTCTGTGCTCGTCACATGGAACTGATTCTATTAACTAGAAGGCTTTTCTACAATTCATTACCATTTTATATAATCATGGGTGATGCAGATCTTCTTGGAATTATTTCACTTCCCTAAGAAACAGCCACCAAATTCTTCCCTACGACACCGGCTTTTTGGCCATTTCTGTGCAGAAGCATGTAACCTTACATGCAACATGCCTAAAGCAAGACCCTTTCCCAAAGCCATTCACCTTCTGTCTCTGTCATTCTGCCCCAGTCACCCATCGAGGTTATACTTAGAAGGATCTCAACCTAGTTCTAGCATATCCAGTCTCCCTATTTCTTAAAAAAAAAATGGTGTGTATCGTTTCCTCCTCCTGAAAAGTTCCCATCACCACCATTCTAGTACTTTAGTGTCCTGTTCCTGGACTTTTAAATAGCATCTTCTCATCAGTCAATCCTTCTTTCACATTGGTATCACACTGTAAAGGACCCGAGTGATAAGGAAGACTGGGGAATTTAACAAAAGATAAAGATAATGCTTGGCATAGAGAAGGGTGACTGGCAAGGCAGGTACAGAGAACAAAATCAGGGAAGTTCAAGGAAAAAACAGTAGGCAAGGCACACCCAGTAAGCCTTGGCGGTCAGGAGAGAGATGGCAGGAACTACAGCCCAAGCTACAAAGTATGAGAGGAAAGTTTCAAAAAACCATGCCATGAATCTAATCAACACAATGGCAGGAATGAGATAAACTATGACAAGAAGCATGGGTGGACTGCCAGAAGGAAAAATGAAGACTGGCAGTGAAGTTATCTCTGGAAGAAAGAACACATTTATCTCTTGCACCGTACCCAAACACATGGAGTGAGGAAGGTAATGACCAGACTCCTGTGCATGTCATCACCTTATTAAGGAACTAGTTAATTAATATGGTTAAGATATATAACAAAACAAGCTAAAGTTATAAAACATTGCCAAGATGTTAAGCGAATAACGGTGGAAAAGCTTCTACACTAACAAAAAGATCTAAAAAGGGCAAAGTAAAATATAAACATAAACACTAAACTAAATCAAAATAAGGTGATTCAAGAATATGTTAAGAGTTGCTTTTAGACTTGAAGTTACAAATGAAAAAGATGATTTCAAGTTTTATTTTAAAATTTTGATTTTACAATGATACAATTTTATCAAATAGATTTTTTAAGAATCCTAAAGCTGAACTGCATCTGTGGTTTTCAGAAGTCCATTTTTCTAACCTTACCTTGTTCCCCCTCCATCTATTGTGAGAATTCGTATTCCTCTCCCTTTCACTGGATCCACATAACCAATTAAGGCCAGAATTTCTCTGACGGCAGCCTGAAGAGTTTCATCTTTAGTTTGTCTCAGTCGTAGTAAATACGGTATAATTCTTTCCTACATTGAGAGGAAAAATATTTTGTTGCTTTTGTCAATCGAGAATGACACTGTATGATTAAATTCAACTAACACAAGTAGGTCATTAAAATTTTAGGCTTCTAAACATCAAAAGATCATAAAACTAAAACTAGCATTGGGTTCATATATCAATTTGATGTCCTGTCTTAAAAGAGTAGTTATATAATATAAACACCACCACTGCAATTAAGAAAAAACTGGCAGCCTTTAAACAATTCAACTAATATACTGACATTCCTATTTTATAAATGTTTGACCTCAAAATATGTATGTATTAGTAGTAACAACATGATTTATATCCTAGAATAAAAGGAATTCTTTAGAATCATATATATCAAAAAATGGAGCAATTTGAATACACAATTACATATATGATAAAAAACCCAAAAATTGGGGCTGGGGATTTAATTCAGGGGCGAAGTGCCCGCCTGGCAAGCGCACAGTCATGAGTTTGATTCCCTGTACCGGAAGAAAAAAAAAAAAGATGGTAAAAACCCCAAAATTTTCAAATAAAAACAAAGGCCTTGTCATCTCCATTTAAAAAGGCTTATTAGGGGCTGGGGATTTAGCTCAGCGGCAAAGCGCCTGCCTGGCAAGTGCAACATCGTGAGTTCAGTTCCGTGAGTTCAGTTCCCGGTACCAGAGAAAAACCAAAAAAAAAAAAATAAATAAATAAATAAAAATGCTTATTAGTATTTTAGTCCAAGGCAACACTTGATTAAGTAAATCAGAAATTACCTTGACAGCTACTCCTTTTCCTTCAGGAAATTCTAGAAGATGAAAAGTCAGTTCTTCGACCCTAGTAATGCAGAGCTTTGGGTCTGCTGTTCTTCTTAACGCCTGAACCAATGCCCGGGTTCTATTATCAATACTCACTCTTGCAATAATCTACAAAAACACATTAAATATATGTGATTAGAATATGACACTTTAAACAAACGGTTAGTATTTCATTAGGAAATGAAATTTACAAATTTGACATAATAAATACAAGTTAAAACCATACTGAGTAACAACTTGCCTTTTCTCGTTGAAGAGATAAATGCTTTTTCTCCTCTGCACTTTTGTCCTTGCTGACAGCCTGCTCAGTTTTAGCAGGCTCTTCCTGTTGCTCTGTCTGACTCTTGGAGTCATACTTTAACTTGGGGACCAGCCCACCGATATAGCCACCTACTAAAGCCTGAACGCCTTCCGTGGGACGAGAAAGAAAGTTAGCAATGCTCTGTTTAGTGGAAATTGGAAGAACTTCTGGCACTCCACCTGGGCCTGCAGACTTGGCCACAGCACCCGTGGCAGACTTTGAGCCTGGCTCATCAGTAAGGACACCAGGATCTGGAGAACTAGGTTTCCCTTCTTCAGCCTTTTCACTTTCGAGTTCTTTGTCCTGGAAATGTTTATTTTCTTTTTGTTGAGACATTTTTTCCTCACGCTTAAAGTATGAATTAATGTGATTTGATAAAAAGTAGAACGATTCTCCAAATTTTGTGGTTATCCTACTTGTGTAACGAAAAAGGCTTTGTTTACCTATATCTTCTGTACCTATTATGTGACTTTTCTCTTCTTCAAAAGCACTCTTTTCTGCTGATTTGTCACTATATTTTTTCAGAGATTTGATGGCTTCTTTAATATTTTTCTGTTTCGACCAGCCACTATCTGACACTTTTCTTAAAATTCGAAAACTTGGCTTAAATTGAGCTAAACGTGAAATCATTTCATTTTGACTGCCAAAAACAGCCTTTGAAACAGAATTCAAAGTACTTTTAATACGGGACATACGAATGCTCACTTTTGTAAGTCCCTTGGGAGCAGAAGTGCTAAGTTTCCAAATGCCAATATGTAAACCATGGTTCCTTGGAGAATAACAGTGCTTACTGCAGGAATATGCTTCACTTTTGGTCCATTTACATCTTATTCTGCTTGTATGAAAACCTCTTTGTAGACTGCTATGGCTTATCCACCAGTAATGTCGAGGAGAGCACACAAAATGCAGCTGCTTGCTTCTCTGCTTTCCACAAAGACTTCTTGCATTACTAAGGAGGTAAATATATATATCTATGGTCAAATTAATAGACATAACTTAAAAATCATTTATTTTCTGTATGACATTGTCTCACTTCATTCCTCAATGCTTCATTTATGAAATGCTGTAAGTCATGGTCTTACCTAAAATGGCAACAAAAAAATAAAAAGAAAGAAAAAGAATTAAGATCCAAGTTAAAATCAAAATTGGGTAAAGATAAAATACATAAATATATAAACTAAGCAAATTGTCTCAAAAAAGTTTATTTCAATAAAGCTTACACAGATTTCAGTTTTTGCTGTTGCTGTTGTTTTTTTCGGGGTACCAGGAATCAGACTCAGGACCTTGTGCTTGCCAGGCAGGCACTTGTGCCACTGAGCTATCTCCCAGATTTCAGTTTTAAACAATAGAAAATAAAATTCACCTTTCAGTATACAAGTCAATAAAAAGAAAAACTGAGTAGTGTTGAGGTAGAAGAAATCAAGACAGGCAGAAGATGACATGGTAAATCATAATTTTACTTTTTTTTTTTTTTTTTTGGTTTTTCTCCGGTACCAGGAACCGAACTCACGACCTTGCGCTTGCCAGGCAGGCGCTTTTGCCGCTGAGCTAAATCCCCAGCCCCCATAATTTTACTTTTAAACCTGCAAATTTTGGACAGAATCAAAGTTACCTAAGGTCATTCACATCTGTACTTCCTGGCCCTGTTTATGCTTCTTTTCTTCTGGGCCCATCACACTCAAAATCCTTTAAAGATACTTTAAATTCATACATCAGCTTAGCTGATAAAATAAAGGGCAGAAACCTGACCTTAAAGTAGAAAACTGACTCAATGACGTTTTAGTTCACCCATTTTTCTTTTCAAAACTTTTTACTAGGATATGTTTGCAGTACATAATGAATACACCTATTTTTTTTAAAATGTAATAGAATGGGCCACGCCTTCACTCTGGAAAATGGGCCATCCTTTCAACTGTAAATACAGCCATTTTGCCCTGTACATGGGCCATTTTTTTCCCTGTAATTCAAGTCCAAACTTTCTAAAATTCACAAATTCAATGATGCAAAAACCCTGAACAAAATATTAGCAAATCAAATCTAACTGTATCAAAAGAATTATAATATGACCAATACCTGGGATTTACCTCAGGTGTATACAACTAGCTTAATCTGTGAAAATGAATAAACATAATTTATCACATCAGTAAGCTTAAAAAAGAACACTCATGATCCTAGCAATAGTTGCAGAAAAAACATTTGACAAAATCCAACACTCATTCATTGTTTAAAATTCTCAATAAACTGAAAATAGAAGGGAAGTTCCTCAACTCAATATAGACTACAAAAAAAAAAAAAAAAAACACCTGAAAAGAAAAAAAATCCTACAGCCAATATCATAACTGCTATGGTTTCTGTCTAAAGGTCCCCACAAAGCCTCAGGCAGTCATGGGGTGGGCTTCTAGAGTTTATAACTGACTCAGAGTCCAATGCTGGGATTATGGGTGTGAGTGCCGTACCTGCCCTGCGGCAGGAAGCCTGCATACAATATAAAGAGGGAAAGAGGCTTGCCCTTTGCTGGTGCTCTTCCCTTTTTGCTCTTGTTGTTTTTGCTGTTTTCCAATGCCATGAACTGTTGCCCCCTCTGCCATGTGCTACCCTGCCTTAGAGCCAGCTGAGTATGAACTGAAACCTCCATAAACCATGAGCTAAATAAATCTTTTCTTCTTCCTTAATTTTGGGTGTCAGGTATTTTGTCTCAGGAATGACAGAAAACTAACCAAAACAATAACTAAGGGTAAAAATTAAAAGCTTTCTCACTCAGATTAAGAACAAGTCAAAATGTCTCCTCTTACCACACTGGTTTTATCACTGAACCGCAAGTCCTACCTAGACACACAAAAGGAAATAAAAGATACACAAATGGGAAGAAAGAAATAAAAACTTTGTTTAGTTGCAGATGACACCACTGCCCATACAGAAAATACAAAAGAATCAACAAAAACAAATACGAACTTCTGGAACTAGATTACAAGGACAAAAAGTTAATATGGAAAAGTTTTCTTCCATACCAATAATGAACAAGTAGAATTTGAAATTAAAAGCACAATACCATTTACATTACATGCCCCCCTTTAAAATGAAAATACTTAGGTATAAATCTAACAAAATGTGTACAAGGTCTAAGAGAAAAAGCTACGCATGGTAGCACATGCCTGTAATCCCAGCCCTGGGTAGGCTGAGGTAGGAGGATTGTTGTGGTTGTGAGTTCGAGGCCAACCTGGGCTACAAAGTGAGTTCAAGACCAGCCTGAACTGAATAGTGAGACCCTGTCTCAAAAAGACAAAAAAACAAAGATCTGAGTGAAAAAAAACTACAAAACACTGAAAGAAACCAAAGAACTAAACACAAGAGATAGCAGGGCGTGGTGGTGCACGCCTGCAATCCCAGCAGACCAGCATGGGCTACAAAAGTGAGCTCAAGGCCAGCCTGAACTGCATAGTGAGACCCTGTCTCAAAAGACAAAAAAAAAAAAAAAAAAAAAAAAAAAAAACAAAACCCAAAACAGTAAACATAGAGATGACCCATGTTCATCAACAGTAGCACAGGTAATGCACCATGGGCTGCAAGACCACTCTCCTCCAATTTGAGTTTGGGCAGCAATCCAGGTCCAATCCTCCTTCCACTGCTCTAAGAAAACCAGAAAATAAAACAACAAAGACTCAGGAACTCTCTGAAACTCCACACCAGAGCATATGCACATTAGCTCTCCTGACCTGATGTTCGATAACTTTTTCCCCACCTGGACTTCATGAATGGTTCATAAATACTGATGGCATCTCACGGTATAATTTGATCAGATTAAATTACTGGAAACGTAGACTCATTGAAAGCACCTGAGAGGACTCTGCACCCTGTCAAGCATTCCTGTCAGTCTCACCTAGAGAACCAAAGAGAGGCACAAGGGCTGGGGTGCATGTCCTTTTAAATTAGAAAGCCTGATTAACCTGTGTGCTGTGCTATGGTTTTCCTCCTCCTCTCACTAGGACACCACTTTGCTGTTCATCCCAACCCTTTTGTTTATGCTGGTACAGAGCTTCCCTGAGCACATCTTCCCAAGATCTTCAATAAATGCAACTGCTTTTCATTTACCAGTAGATGTACACTTTGCAATTCACTGCTTACCCTACACAAGAGCCTGGAATCTATCTGCTGGGTTCACCTCACAGTAACAGATAGGAAGATTCAGTACTGTCAAGATGTCACTTCTTCCCATCCTGATTACAGATGCAACATAATTTCAACCAAAATCCCTGCCGTTTATTTTTTCCAACATCAATAAATTTACCTTAAAGTTTATATGGAGGAGTAAAAGATCCAGAGTAGCTAACAAAATATAGAAGGAGGAAAACAAAGTAGGATGACACTATCTGACTTTAGGGCTTACTTACTTTCCATCAAGACAGTATATTAGTGGTGAAAGATAAGTGAACAGATCAATGGGATGATAAAACAGCCTAGAAACAGACCTGATTAAATATATGGGTATGGCCAGGCATGGTGGTGCACGCCTGTAATCCCAGCACTTGGGAGGCTGAGGCAGGAGGATCACTGCGAGTTGATCCTACAAAGTGAGCTCAAGGCCAACCTGAACTGCATAAGGAGACCCTGTCCCAAAAAAGACTAAATAAATAAATAAATAAATACGTAGTTAATTAATCTCTGACAAAAAAGCAAAGATAGCAAAAAATGGAACAAAGACAGTCTTCTTGACAAATAGTGCTAAAATAACTGGACATCTACATGCAAAAAGTGAATCTAAACAGGCCTTACAATCTTCACAAAAATTAACTCAAATGGATCATAGGTCTAAATGTAAAACACACTCTCTAAAACTCCTAAAATATAACACAGGGCAACATTTAGACAACCCTAGGAACGGCAACGATTTTTCAGATACAACACCTAAGGCATAATCCATTCAAGGAAGAACTGATAAGATGGACTTCATTAAAATGAGAGACTTCTGCTCTGTGAAAGACAGCGTCAAGAGAATGAGCGGGCGTGGTGGCGTATGCCTGTAATCCCAGCACTCGGGAGGCTGAGGCACAGGAGGATCGTTGAAAGTTCGCGACTAGCCTGGGCTACAAAGTGAGCTCAAGGCCAGCCTGAACTGCTTAGTGAGACCCTGTATCAAAAAGACAAAAAAAAAAAAAAAAAAAAAAAAAAAAGAGAATGAGAAGATAAGCTGGAGATGGGGAGAAAGTAATTACAGGAGACATATATGGCAAAGAATTGACATCTAAAACATACAGAGCACACTTCAATAAGCTTATGAAAAGATGCACCACTTTATATGTTTGTGGGAAACTAGTCAAAAGGATCGAGGCCCAGCTGACTGTCCCTGCAGACACAAAGGATGGAAGAGCAAGCTGTTCGCCCTTTGCCAACATGCCAGCATGCTGGCATTGCAAGTTCCAGGTAAGAAGTCAACACGCCTGAGATCTTGTTTAGAGAAATGCTTACCTGGGTACACTTTACAAGTAATGAGAAACAGATGAATTTTCCATTAACTTAACTGCTTGCTTCCTTACCTAAGGTGAATAAAAGTGAGGCAAGCCAGATGCTTAGGGCTCTTTGTCCACTAGCGGCAACAGCCCCCTGGTCCCTCTTTCAAAATTATCTCTGTGTCCTGTCTTTAATCTCTGTTCAGCCTCTCCAGTTAGGTGTTCCTAGCATGTTGGTTTTCTGCATATGTCCTCAGGAAAATGCAAATTCAAACACCAATGTGATAGCACTGCACACCTAGTAGGAAGGCCAGAAATCAGGATGCTGACAGCACCACACACTGGGGAGGATGAGGAGGAACGGGAATGCATATTAATTGCTGATGGAATGCAAAATGGTGAGACCACTATGGAGAACAGCGTGGCAGTTTCTTACAAAGCTAAACATACGTTCATCCCATGATCCAGTAATTGTGCTCCTTGGCATTTACCCAAAGAAGTTGAAGACTTCTGTCCACACTTAAGTACCGTACCTGAATACTTGTAACAGCTTCACCGATAAAAGCTAAACTTAGAAGCACCCAAGAGATCCCTCCGTATGTGAACGGACAAACTGGGACATAGTAGTCCTCTCTTAT